CGGCCAAAATTTTATTAGTCGCTTAGTCGCAGAAAAAAAAAATCCACAGGAAATGGTGAGGTCACGCAGTCCTTGATGGACAGATCGTTAACGGCTGGATTTTGTGGTAATACAGTAACATTACATCCAAACACTCGCCTATCATTCATTGACCTCAACTATGGCTTATCATCTGAAATATGTAAGTAGTAGCAACTTTACATGGCCGCTCAATCTAATGTTAACCTAGAAAAATGTGCACTATTGAAGTGTCTGATCACTATCAGTAGCACACTCACAGCATGACAGATGGAGGCGCCGGTGCAGTCACTTCAAAGTGCCCTTTTGTCAAAGGTTTTTTTTTTTGTAATTAAATTCCATTTTCCATTTAAATAATAATATGATAATACATAATAAATTAAATAATAATTTAGCCGTAAATAAAATGATCCACATGATGACCTTTCACCTGACAAACTCATCAAGGACGATCCCTCACGTTCAGACACCTTTAGTATTTTAGCGCACAACCAGGATACCTTCAATAACGGACACTGTGTTCTCCATTTTTTGATGTAGTGTCTAATGAATGATCTGTAGTGTGTATATTATTATTATTAGTGTGTATGATTTGAAAGCTTTGTTTGATTTTGAGTACAGGTGAGCTCTTAAAATACTCCGTCATTTTGGTCATCACAGATAAGAGTAATACATCTTTCGAATCTGTAAAGCCTCTACGTGTATTTGTGTGCACTCATTATAACAACAACACATTGCACTTTTGTAAAATAATGAAAGCAAACAGGATGCGCTTTCTGCCGTCTCGACCTCTGTGAACTTGAGCGTGAAACTCAGTGTATACTTGCCTTACAGACATGAAAAATATATCTTTAGAGAGTGAAATGTCTACTTTCAAATGAAACAATTCAAATCTGAAAATCAGTTTATGTAATCCGTATAAAACATGCATACAGGCACATCCACTACTGTGGAGAAGACGAGTCAGTGTCGCCGAATTCACAGAAAACACTAGTTTATCAATAGATTATTAAAATGTTAATGCAGTTTAATCTTACTGTTTTCCCCTGACACATTTATCATCATTACTTCTGCCGGTGTGCCCGTGGCAAGCTTTATTGAGCACTTATTAGGCTATGTAGGCAATTAAAGGCTCATTATCATGATTTAAATGGTTTATTAATAAACGTGTTTAGTCGACTAATGCTTAAAATGAAAGACTACTAGTTGACCAGAAAAATCTTTAGTCGAGGGCAGCCCTAATATACATACTATATATATATTTATAAACGCAAATGTTTTTTAATAGTATTAATATTAGTTTCTGTTTTAGTATACTAAAACCATACTTAACACTGCCGGCTAATACCACAACACATCACATAATTCATCAAATTCATTGCTAATAGCTACAGAAGTTTGTGCAAGTATTTTCCCACCAAAAATGGAGTCATCTTGAGAATTAGGAAACTTGCTCATTAAACATCATTAATAGTAGTAATGGACGCAGAGGAAGTCTGGCTCACAGGAAAAAGCTATTAACTGATAATAAATTGAAGCAATATTCCCAGGAAAACATGCGTTGATTTAGACATCTTGAATAGAGAAATGTCTAAATCACAAAAAAGATTAAACACTTTAATGAATTGCCAGTTTTAGAAGTAGGGAGTCGGGACACAATTAATACAATTTCCATATTTAAAAAAATATATATATGTATGTATATATATATATATATATATATATATATACAGTATATATATGCAAATAGATAGATTTTTCCATCCCTACAATCTACAAAACACAATTAGCCAAGCAGGTGGACATCCTTTGTGCCCTACATCAAAGTAGGAAATACCTGTCCATCATGTTAAGAAATTACCCATGATGACCATCTGTGACTGGAACATAAACAAACTAATCTTACGGACTTTCCAGAGTGTCCTTTGTTCCTGAACTACAATAGATCTCTCATATCATAGCAGGCTCACTGCACAAACATAAAGAACAGTTTCAAAACAAAGAAAGCTGAGAGACTAAGCAGAAATGATCAATGAAACGATGCATTGAGTGTGACGGTAAACTTCCAAGGTCCATTTAGCAAACCAATGCTACAGTTTATCTCAGAAATACCTACAGCCATTCTGAATGTCTTTAATATCAGACCTCTGGTGCAATCTGTGTTATGGGTGCAAAGTCTGATCGGAAGATCCTGCTTATCTGGAGAGAAAGATCTATAAAATCCTGCTAGGTCTTCTTGAAAATGGTTCTCCCACGTAACCTAACCTGGCAGTCAAAGGGGGATTTCTGCAGCCATGGCTCGATTCCAAGAAACAGGGACGATCATGCAGTTGTCAGTTAATATCTATCTTTATCTTTATCTGTAGACTAGGGTTTCTGTAACACACTTTGCAGGATTTTTGAAGCCAGGACAAAAACAAAAAAAAAAAAAGAAAAATAATCCAAAATCGGGGAAAAAAATTTAATGAATGAATGAATAAATAAATAAATAAATATTTCAATTAAGGGACAATAGTTTCCTCCTTAAATTGAATTCCAGGGACTCTTTAACCTTTCCAAGGGCAATTGTTCAAACCTTATTAAATGTATGCATCATCTTTCATGTTAACTAATATATTTATTCAATAAATGCAATTTCAAAACCGGACTGTTCGACCTCAAATCGGACAGATGACCATGTATAAGAAAAAAAAATAATGCTTTTGTTATAGAAAATGGCATTTAACATAATCCAGCCAACATACTAGTAACTGTATGTGGGTGGTTTGTGCCTATTTGACCCCGGAAGACATTAAAACTCATTAGCTTCAGGGCATCAACGATAAGAATCAAACTTTTCGGAGACCTGTAGATTTCTGCGATGAGTTTATCTTGTACGGATTCCAGACAGATCTGGCAACTGCACGACCTAACTGTGGGAAGAGCCTTTTATTTTTTTTCCATTGAAGGAAAGTAAATTTGAGCCTCTCGTATAAACAAGCGCTCTGAGTCGTGGGCGAGCCTATACAAGAAAGATAAATCTTTGCCATTCATCATGAGCACAATGAGCTGAACCTCCAAATGAACAGAACGTCTTGTTATTAGAGCATCTTGCAATTTAAACAACTTTTGCCAATTACTAACCACAAATATTTCATAAATCCTGTTCTGAAGTTATGACAAGTCTAAATCTGTTGATAGAGAACAGATAAAACATCTCTTTAAAATCTACATCTGTTCTCAGTGTAAATGAACGGTTGTACAACAGTATAAAATCATATAAATACTGATGAAAGAAACTAACATGCTACATAGCACAATTATTGTATAACTGGATGAATGTTATAACGTAATACTTTGCTAGTAGCACTAACCCAGTGATTTTAGGTTATGTGCTGTCAACATCAAAATAATAATTTTTATTAACAAATAATGAAAATGCAGTTAATTAATACATTGACTTCAATACACATTTTCAATGATGAGCATTTTAAAATTTCTATATTAAAATTTATTTTGAAATTTTTTGGGTGGTCTGAAGTCAAAATTAAAAAAATAGAAAAAAGAAAAAAGAAAAAAATAAATTATTGAAAATGTGTGGTGAAGCCAACAGGCAGAAGCATGCATAAATAAATAAATACATTTTTATTTTTACTTATAATATAATATAATATAACTTTATATTATAATATAAAT